AAAGGCATCTCCCACCACCCATCTTAGCAGCCCCTTTCTTATTCATCATCACACCCACCATGGGGCCTGGACTCTAAGGCAGGCTCCCTTTCCGTTGCCTTGACAACTCTGAAAAACAGAGAAACGGAATGATCAAAAAGCCTGTTGGGCCTTTGGCTGTCACCAGAGACACTTCCTGACTGCCCTCTTTCCATTCTGAGGACTGCCCAGACACGAGGGTTCTCTCCTTTTCACTTCTTCCCCAGGACACCCTTCCAGGTGTTATCTATGGCTGCCAAGAAGGGCCAGGGACGTCCTGAGACAGGGCTCTTATAAGCAAGAGAGTGAGGGGTCCAGGACTGCCCCAAGAGAATTTCAAGCCTTCCCTTGGAAGGACGCAAAGGCTTTCCTTCTCACTCACTGGGGCTGAAAGTAAGCCTCAGTGAGAAATGACTTTCTGAAGTCCAAGATATTCCCACCCTACCAGCAATGCTGACAGGGCAGCACCCTGAGTCCCTGGCTCTGCTGATCCCAAGAATTTAATCACAGTGATTGATCTGATTGGAGGCCTTTCTTTTCCTCCCGGGATACCCAGGCTGCAGAGTGCACACTGGCATCTCCTGGAGCCAGTATATCCCACCCTGGTAAAGGGACACGGCTTCAGGCTTATGCCACCCCTTTGGAGAGAGACCTCTTTACACAGTGGGGCAAGTATGCTTTCCGTGCCTCATCCGGTGAGACCAAGCCAAGCCAAGTATTGATTTGACAGAAAGATATGGATATGCTGGACGCATAATGGTTAAGGGATCCTATTTCCTTCTTTTCCTGTTCAGAGTACACCTCTCCTCCACCCCACCCTGTTGAAAAGCAAAGGCCGGATGAGGGAGAGTGTTCTCATCGGTCACTCAGGGACGCCTCTGTTTCCCCGGTCTCCTTGCAGGAGTTCAAAACCATAAAGCCTCTGGGAACAAGGACCCCCTCTCCCACCATGACAACCTCTCCCAAGATCTTCGCCTCGCTATATATTCTTAGAACCAGTCAATATGATTAATTTTACATGGGCATAATTTCCGGCTATTGTTGTGGAGTCCTCCCAGCCTCACCCATCAATGGCGACATGATACAGTTTCTGGTTATATTGGTCAATCAAGATATTGATATTATTAATAATGGATATCTATATGCTGACCTTTGTCCACACAACTGAATCACTCTGGGCTGGCTGTCACATTGCTTTAAGAGGTATTGATAAGCCCATTACCGGAAGGGCACATACAATCTTAGGTGTATGCTTTTCACTCACCTTCAAGCATCCCCTGTGAAAATTGACCTTTGTTGCATGAACTGGTGTGGGTACTGTGGCATGTGGTATGCAAAAGAATGTGTGTGCATATGCTTGTGTGGTGAATGTATGTGTGTGTGTATGCGAGAGTGTTCACGTGTATGTAAGTGTGTGTGTGAGTGTGTGTATGCGTGTGTGTGTGTGAGTCTGTTTTGAATACCGTCCCTTTTAGAGCTGATCAAATAGTCAATTACGGCATTATAGGGAGGTAGCAGAATCAGAGAATTCCTACAAATACACTGTGATGTAGCGTTTGATCTTTAGATGCCTCTTGTCTCCGAGGACTTGCGCAAGGAGGCTTGGCTTTATAAGGATATTATTAGGTTGATGCCTCATTCTCTCAATTTACCTGCCAGGCAAGAGACAGCACTCACGGGGAGCAGTCTGGCCAGAACCAGCCACTGGGAGGTGCGCTGAAGACCATGCTGCAGGCTTGACTTTGGGCATACGCTACTCTCAGCCTCAGTCTCTATCTGTACAGTGGCAACAGTTAATTCAGCTCTACTTTCTAAAGACAGAGAGGGGAAGTTTACTGACCTCAGGCTCTCAACCTTCTGCACCAAAACTTCCAATCATATGAAAGCCTGGCATGCCAGCAGGCCTGATTGATTACATGGTGAGATGTGGCCCTTTAACTTTTAGAGGGGAATGGGTTTGTGTAAGTTTATAGTAGAAGGCATGCTTTTTGTGCTTGTGTGTATTTGTGCATGGTCACACAGACCTCATTGCTGTGCATCTCTGTGACTGCTGTCGTGCCTACCTGCATGGAAGGTGGTGTCAGGGTCAGTGCCTCTATCAGTTCGGTCTACAGTGATCCCATCCTGTTTGAACTCAGACAGCCTCACTTGTCAGGGATGCCCCCTTGCTTGTCCCTGTAAAGGGAAACTGGCTAGCTGGAGAGATCTTTTGGATCCTCAGACATAGTGTATGAATAAACCAGACATGGATTAATTAGGTGTGACTGCATCATTAAATTAGAATAATGAACAAACAGCCACGTATGGCATTCAAATCTGCCTAGAACGACTCCAAGGGTTGCTTTCAAGTAAGTCACCTGTCAGTTTGTAGGTCTTGGGGACTCTAGAGAGTGAGGTTCCTGTCACATCTTAAGAAGTGGCTTCTTTAGGCACTAACTACTCCGGGCAAGGACCATCCTTCAGTGGGCACCAAGACTCCACAACTGAATCCAAACAATGACTTAGTTCAATACAGCAACATCTATGCCCGCTTCAGCTGCGAGCATTTCTCAGTGTGAAATATGACAGTAGCACAGGTGCTCAAGAGATGGGAGGGAGAAGTTAAGAGGTGTGGGCAGCGGATGTGAAATGTATTGATCCCATAATATTTATGTGGATGTGCATATAGTCGCTTGTGCACGTGCATATGCGCATGCACACACACACCCCTTTTGTGTTTCTAGAAACTCCTTTTTCTTCTGCTGATACTCCCCATTTCAGTCAGATCGATTCAAGGGTGAACCAAGTTGTGTAATTTTAGGAACAGCTGCTGAACTGCAGCACCCTGCCCTCGGAGGACAGCAGTTCTCACAATCCTGGTCCTTGGACACAGTGGCTGTGCAGAAAGGAGTGTTTGTCTTTAACAAAGAGGAGGAAGCCTACAGCTAACAGGGAAGAAAATGGGAAACCAGCTTGAGTTGCTGGCCAGCTGTGGAATAGCCTAATACATCGGGGCTTTGTTCGAAAGATGTGTTAAGTATCTAGAAACCTTTGATCTGTAGCCACTCTTAACAAAGGTGATAATTAATTGAAGCAGAGTGTATTGCAATAAAGTAACATTGCGGTCAGTTTATACGTTGTCCAGAGCTGGCCTTCGGAAGTCTCTGTCAATTACGCTCTTGTTGGAGGCCAGTTCATTATCAATTTTTTTCCTGAGTTTGATCAATATTTTTGGCTGTTCTGTCCCCACAGAAGCAGGACTATGTCTGTCTCCATGAGGGCACCCATTTATTTCCATCTTGCAGATGGCCACATAGGATTTGTTCCTGAGCTGAGCTGCGGGGAATCACTCTGTTTGAAATTCTCAATCAGCTCACGCTAGAGGGGAGATACAAGGAAGAATAAGAGAAACCAAATGTGGACAAGTAGAAGGGGAGAAACCCTATAAATGGATGGTCCTGAAAACATCCCCTTTTACTTTTTCTTTTTTTTTCTTTGAGATTGGGTCTCACTCTGTTGCTCAGGCTGGAGTGCAGTGGTGCGATCTCCACTCACTGCAGCCTCCACCCAGTCTCAAGCAATCCTCCCATCTCAGCCTCCTGAGTAGCTGGGACTACAGACTTGCGCCACCATGCCCTACTAATTCCCCTTCTACTTTTGAGGACTCAAAAATCAAGGCAATCACCTTGGGCTTCCTACCTGACTTTCTTCTTTGTTCCTGTGGGTAGGGCTGCGGCTTGGGCTTTATACCCACCTAGGGCTGTGGGGAACTTGATGGGTGGAGATGGAGGAAGCTCTTAGGGCAAGTACATCAACACTGGAAATTCCTCTGCTGCTTTTTCTACCCGTGTAACTGTTTTTTTTCTGTGTGTGTGTGTGTCTGTTCTGGTACCTTTAACTTCTCTTATGTTGCCAAATGGAACACTTATCTCCTTCAGGCCCCACTTTGGGGTTTGGGTGGATATCTTAAATGGCAGAGAAGACAGAAAAGGAGAGGAAAGATGATGAAAGGGCTTCAGTGAAATTGCGGGGGGTGGGGGGGTGCTCTGTTCTACTCCCCTAGGCTGTTTGGGTAGGACTGGATGCTTTCTGCAATTCTTGGAGAGGCTGTGTATCTACAGGCCTACAGGAAAGGAAGAGGTAAAAGGAGCGGATTTTCTGCTCTTGTTATAGAGATCCCAAAAGGAGGGCAACCGGCTCCCTGCCACGCCCTGCTTGGATTTAGGTAAAATGCAGTATTCTGCTTGGAGGGCCTGACTTGACTGAGCTGGTCAGGTTCTGTGTGTGTGTGTGTGTGTGTGTGTGTGTGTGTGTGTACACTATAAAAGGAAAGTAGCCTGGAATACCAAGGGGCAGTGAATAAGGTGGGAAATGCAGTGGGTGAAGGGAATTAGCTGCGGCAGGCCACTCAGATTCTAGATGGAAGGTCATTGCTAAAATGAGTCAGTGGGTGAGCAGAAGCAGGCTAGCCTTGAAAGGGTGATGGGTGGGAAATGAGGATGGAACCCTCCTCCAAACCAGGACTTCTGGATGGGAATATCGACAGATAAAGCAAAAAATACACCTTCACACTGGGACTTGAATCATTGACAAATCCAAGCCAGGAGTTCTGAGGTGGATCATGTATGTAATGATGAGGACAGCGTCATTTTTTCCAGATTTTCCCCTTTTCTCCATCACCCTTCTCCCTGATCCTGCATATAGCCTTGCAAGATTAAACTGTCCCTAACATCATCTCCACACCACTTGCATCTGTCATCTCTTCTCTGTGTGTGTGTATCCACACACACATGCTCACTCCAACACCCACACAGGCTGCAGCATCTTCCCTCCTCCTACCCACAGACACATAGGTTTTCACACCCTTTAGCTCTTCTCTCTGCATGTCACATGGGATTTCCCCACCAAGTTCAAGAGCTGCTGCAGTTTCAGCCACTGTAAACGGGCACTCCCAGCTTCTAGCTGGCATTTTGATCATACAACTTTCACTTTTTCTTCTCTACCTGCAACCTTGGGCCTTATTCTCTGTTGCATTTCTGTCCTCTAGAGCCTACTTATCCCAGATTCTCTTTAGGTGAGATCCCTCCTGGATCAGTTTAGAAACTGACCCTCTCCTGATGACATGGAAGTTGTGAGCCCTGGACAGAGGTAACGTTGAGACCAGCTCTTTTCTCAAGCAAAAAGGTGGTATCTTGGATATCTTCCAAGGCCTCACTCAGAAGCCCCTCTTCCCTCCTGATATAGACGCTGTAATAATGAGGAGGAAGATGCTAATATTAGTGATGATAATGGCCATGATCAAGTTGCTGGAGTGTGGCAAGATCACTGGGCAGTGGGAATACCCTGGGACATGAGCTCCCTGATAGAACTCTAAGAACTTTACTACATGAGTGTGTAGGGGGCATAGCAATGGCATGCAGTTTTGTCATTGTTTTCCTTTGCGTTGTTTTATGGCTATGATTTCATTCAATAAAAGATTTTATTTTGTTGTGTTTGAGAGGCCACAAACATCAAGCCAATTGGAGCAGGTGATGAAGGGAGTGAAAGTATACCAAGGGGCTTATTTCAACCCAATCTAGAATTCCCATTAAAACTGTGTGTGCTTGGGGATGGGAGGGAGGTTGCTAACATCTCCCTGTTGAATTGCACTGAAATCTAGGCCAGCCCTGGTTTCCATATGTGTGGGATGTGCTTAGTCATGCTTGCACATGGAAACATATACGTGCATATGTGCATATTAATTTATCTCTGTGTTTGTTGATTCCAAGGAAGTCTGTTTAAAAGACAAATGAAATTATGCATAAGCAGCAAATAACCATCAGTCTCTTAAATAAGCTAATCATTTTCCAATATTTTTTCTTTGCTCTTAAGTAGGACACTTATCAACATCTGGATTTTGGAGTTTGTTTTAATGGTGATTGTTGCTTTGATATGCTTTACGTTTGTAATGATTGCTATTGATCATTTTCTTTGGTGAAACTTGTTTTTTAAAAAATGCTTTTCTTGTTTTCTGATTATGGCTATTCAGTTTTCCGTATCTCTGACAAGGCAAATCTTTCTTTTAAAAGCTATAGGTGTGTACCCAGCCATTCTGTCAGCCTTTTCTCCTGGACAGAACTGAATTTTTATTTTTCAAAGTATTTTTAAAAAGTTCATCTTAATTGAGCTCATGCCCATGCTAATACTTCAGCTGCACTGTCTCTTAGACTCATTTGAAAATGGAAATCACATAGAGCTTCACAATTTTAAATCACCTATCTACAGCAGAAAAAGAATCCCCAAAACCCCACAAAACAACGAGCCATCTTGGGTAAAGTCAAGCGGTGGAAATTCAGTGTTCTGAGAATTATTGTATCTTAAACACAAATACAAGACATAATTTTATGAAGATGGTCACAAATCCCCAAAACATATTCATACCCCCGTCCTTCCTCTTTCTCACAGCTAAACCCCAAATCAAGGGGCTTTAGGCATTTCCTATTCAGGTGTAGTTGAAATAGAAGATTGTGCATGTAGTGGTGAGTGTATTTTAAAATGATACACTCTCTGGAGCTAAATCCACAGAAGATTCTATTACTCTGTCCCCACCCTCCTTCTGGATATAGTGTGGAAGTATGAGGGGCTGAAATCCCTGCAGTTGTGGCTTCTGGGCTGAGAGCCCCCCAGGCTGCCAGTAGAGTATATTTTCCTCCATGCAACGGAGAAAATCTCAAAGCAGAGTGCTTACCCAGGCACAGATCTGTTCTGACTGGATAACAAGAAGGACTATGATGTGGACTTGGCTGTTTAGATTAAAATGCATCGCAGGCTCTGGGAACAAGCACACATCAGTAGTAAAGGCTGTTTAAACCTTTGGGGACAGTCCTATGTTTAGATTACATTAATTCATAAATATTATACTAAATACCACTTAAATTGGACTTAAATGACTTCAAAGATAATGCATTATAATATGGCTATCCAGAGAGCACTAGTCTTTATATCTCCCAGTAACTCAGTCTTTGCTGCCTCCTATCCAGCTAGATAGGACCAAAGTTATGAATGGATTGCTGATTTCTCCATGTGTGATCCACTGTGTAAGTGAGTGTTAACAAGTATGGGTATGTGTGCACATATGTGTCTTCAGTCACTGCCTCTTTTTGTTCTACAGGAAATGAAAAGAAGAAAACAGAAATAAATGAAAAATGAGAGAAAGGAAGAATTGGACTACTGGGTGACCTGTTCCCTTTTCCAGAGGAGAAAAATTTTACAAGAAGGGGTAAAATTGGCCCTCAGCTCACTTCTGCTGCTACCCGAGGAATTCGTCTCTTTTCTCTTTAATCAGTAGTACAATGTCTTTCTCTTTGGAGCCTGGAAAAACAATCTTTCCCAAAGTGCTCTAATGAGGGAGAAAAGAAGACTCTGAGTTGTTCCGGAGAGTTTGCATTAAACTCGGTTTTCTTCCTTGGGTGTTGTTTTTTTGAATTTTAATTCTGGGCTTTTTTCTTCCTTTCTCTCTTTGCGTAGCACCCAGATACCCCTCTCTCCAATTGCTTTCTGGCCTCCAGGGGGTAAATTTACCTTTATAGTAATCACCCCAGTCCACAGCTGCTCTTTGCTGCCTCCCCAGCCCAACAGCCTTTCTCTGATATGGCTGGGTTTGCTCCACAACACCCACCCACTCCCTCCTCCACAGACTCCCAATATGACTGGAGTAATTGCCTTTTAAGGTGCACTCTACGCATGGCAGGTATTCCATTAACCCTTAGAACTCCTTCCTTCTTTAGATATCTGAAATGGCAGGTGGCCAACAAATGGAGACCCACCTGAAATCTCATGTGTTTAATTTAGTTTTTATTTCTTTTTCTTTTCCTTCTGTCTTCCTTTTTCTTTTTCTTTTTTTTGCCAATAACATAAACATGACATCCAAACTGGAGGCCAGTGTCCTGTGTCTCTCAATTTTGTCCCATATGATTCATTAGAAGTTAGAAATTAAAGAAGGGGAGAGCAAGAGCCACAAATATGCCCTGAAACCAGGCTTAACAAAGGCATGATTCTATCCCTAACCTTATGTTGTCAATTTAGAGATGGGGAAATCTAGAAACCAAATGCAACCCTCCTTCCTCAAGCCTCATCATGCTTTCCAACTTAACAGTAATTAATCACCAATGGCAAGCGAGTAATTTTTTAAGGTGGCCGGAGGCTTATTTTATCAGGATTAGCTAATAAATCAGGCTGCATCAATGAAGAAGGAGTTTAAACTCTTCTAGGACTGAATAAACCAGACCTCGGAAACGGTCTCATTTATTCAGCTCTCTGAGAGCTTGCAAGCACTGTTAGGGACATTGTGGCCCAACCTCAATTATAAAAATCAGAAGGATGGAGAGGTAGGAAGTTTCACTGAGAAAATTATATGCTTAGGCTCCGAAGGGTGAGCTGCGACAATGAGGAACCCAGTATGCCGGAGCCACTGGGCCTGCCTGCCACTGACTGAGACAGTTTAGGGGAGAAATTATTTAGAAAATGAAGTTTTGTTTGTCCTAGGAATTCTGGCCAGATATCTATCTATCTATCTATCTATCTATCTATCTATCTATCTATCTAAAATATATGTAATATATGTATTATATATATTATAATGATAACCTTCTCTATCTCCCTAATGCAAATGATGAAAATTCTACTTCTTTGCTATTATATGAGAGAGTCCAAATTACATCAGAAACGAAGTGATGATATCAGGGATTGTAGAAAAGAAACCAAGGAATACTGTTAAAGTTTATCTTCATTTGAAATGAAGAAGCAAGTAAAGTGCTTTAATCCACATGCCATATGAAGCCCAGCTCCTCACAACTGTCTTTTGCCTCTAGTGGGTTCTGATTTTTTTTAACTTTAAAATCTTAAATCACCACAAAAACTGATCATTAAGATGGGCAAAAGGTTTCCCTACCTATGCTTTCAAAATTTTTGTTATTACTATTTTTTAAAACGAGGACATTCTGAATAACAAAGGTTTGATACAAACCTTGATTAGCTTCTAGGAAGCTTGATTGGAAGGGGAAAAAACTACAAAGATACGGTTGACTTGAGAGGGAGGGAGGGAAAAGAAAGTGTTTTCTTTTTTTCTTCGAATATTGTTTTGAAGACTGCCTCCTCATTCCACCTTTCCAATCTCCCTTTTGAACAGACAGACATTTTCTCCATATTGGATAAAGGTTGGTTTCTCTCTCCATTACAGCCCCCACCCTCACCTCACCCCAACAAACCCAGTATATTTCCATTCTGCTGTGTTTTTGTGTTACTCAACATGCCATTAACTTTAAGATTTACTCCTCAGCAGGCAAGCTGGAAGATGCTAAAGCCAATAAAAACTGCTCTCTGGGACTCCAACTATGAAGAGTTTGGAGCTCTGTTTAGTATTCGAACGAAGGGAGGGCTGAAGAAAGAGGGTGGTTGTGATAGTGAAAATCGCTGCTGCTTAGAGAGCCAGACAGCTCCGCGCTCTGCACCTAATGTGCTGGAGGATCAGCTGTGTCCATAGCCCATTTGTGGCCAAGGATGAGGCTGCTCTCTATGTGGGGGTGGGTGTGCGTGTGTGTTTTCATCTTTAAAACCACCAGCTGTAACAGCATCTTCGGCGGCTCTCCACACTACTGTTTATTAAAAACGGAACATCCATACACATCCCCTACAACTTCCTTAGCCCCGTGCTCCTTCCCTGCCTGGCGATCAATCTCTCTCAGAAAGCATTTAACTTGCCCACATAGCTCCAGCACCGATTCATCCCCGCTGCACATCCTATATATTACTGTTAGGAAGCGGAGCACTGGGCTAATTTCGTCACCCACCAGCCACCCACACACATTCTACAACTGAACACGTTTGGGGCTCTGCTTTAAAGATAATAAAACAAGGAGAAAACGGCAGGCTGCAGACAATTCCCATGACCACTTTCCTAAAAAGTTGCTGGGTTTTAATTCTTTGATTATTCTCTCTCCCCCTCCCCCAAGCACTCACTGTCAATGATCGCTTCAAGGGAAAAATAATGTACTATAAAGCTCTCTGCATGGTGAGTTTGGGATAAATTAGGGTACACCTTTCAAAATGCAAATCTCGCACACACATATTTTTTTTTCCCAAAGCTCCGCTTTCCTGGGAAGGGGACTATCCAGGCTTGCCAGACCTCCACTCCACCCAGGGGATGGCTGGTTCCTTGCTAATTCTTGCCTTAGGTTTTATCACTGGTTCCTTCAAACATCCACCCCCCCAACCCCCAACACACACCACCATTCACACCACAATCAGATTATTGAGGCACACAGCTCGACAGGGAGAGTTTACTGTTACATTTAAATAAAAATATTTCTTTGAATTTGTCACCTCTCTCCCTTTTAGACGGCTGCGCTCCTGCTACTCTGGCCCGGAGCAAAGGATGAGGAGACCATCTCCTTTAGTATTTCAGCACCACGACGATGGACAGCACCCTCAGTCCCCGGCCGGCCAGGCGCCCGAGAGTCCGTCCGCTCAGCGTCCTGGGCTCGACCGGTGCAGCCTTCCCCATCCCAATCTTTCAAGTCGCTGTACCCAAAAACCCAAGCCCCGTCTCCTCGATCCCCTCTCTCTTTCTCTTCATCGGCGCCCGCTGCTCTCTCCATGGCATCGTTCCTATCAGCACCTCGCCCAAAACCCAGCCTTGCCCCAGCGAGCAGCTCCCCACGCACCCCAGCTCTGGTCTCCGCTGCCCGAGCGCCTCCCTCCACGGCGCCCGCCCGAGGCTTCCTCTCGCTCAGTCAGCCGCTTGTCAGTCGCCGGCCGGCCGGTCGGCCGGCCCGCCCGCTCCTGCTCCCCGGCAAAGTTGGGAGGGAAAGGTGCACTCACCTTTGTGCATGCCTGTGAACCTGTCCTTCAGAACCGTAAGCTCGTAGATTTTGCCAAACTCCTCGAAGAGGGGCTTGAGGTCCTTCTCATCCAGGTTGCGGGGGATCTGCCCAATGAACAGCTTGATGGCATCGTGGTCCTTCATGGGAATGGTCGACGGGTTCCCCGGGCTGTGGCTTAATCCGTTCATGTGCCCGGCACTGCCCGGGCTGCTGCCGAGCCCGTTGGTACTGAGGCTTGCGTTGTCAGCCTGTCCGTTTGCTAACGTGGCCATCTTTATATACATAGAGAAAATCTTCTTTCCTTTTATTCTTTCTCGCTCGCACTCTCTCGCTCCTCTCGCTCGCTCGCTCGCGCTCACACACGCACACGCATACACACACTCGGGTTCTCTCCCCCTCGGTTTCTCTACACCTCGCTCTCCGCTCGCTCTCTGCTCTCTCTCTTTCTCCTCTTCTCTCGCTCGCTCGCGCTCGCGCTCTCTCTCCGCTCTCCC